ATCAGAGGGTGGCAGTGTGGCAACTTTCCTTGCTTTCCATATATTCCACTTCCCCATTGAAATTAGGCTTGAAGGTAGCACTTGATTGTAGCCAAGATAATAGTTTGTGGTGTGTGGTTGACTGTGGTGTTTCTGTGTGCTGCCCATGAGATATTTTTTTCTGGGTGGCACATATGTCCACGGGTCCAGAATAGTTGATGATCCCTGGTCTACATGAACCGGATGCTTCATTCACATAAATAGCAAACAGAAGTATTTTCATCCCCAAAGGTAAAACTGGGGGTAAACTGTATGCTTTTCAATCAGAACAATCTCCATCGGTCACACAAGAAAATGTCATATGCCCATGCCCATGGGTCAGTCACCATTTAGGTTGCTTTTGATGTCTTCAGGCTATAGGGCACCCAGAATTAGACACTAACTGATTAGGCCATGAATTCCTCCTTCATGAATTGCTCCCCATTGGCTGGCGACATAAGAGAAGATTGTGAGAAAGTCTCCCAGGGAGTCAAATCTCAAGGGGCTCCTAAAATGTGGCTTCTTGTCAGTCAACCCCTCACCAAACAAAAGGGAGGGAGGGGGTAGAATTGGCTCAACTTTGTCTCTTTCCTTTGCCTATGAAGGCAAATTGCCTCCTTTCAAAGTAGAGGGCTATTCTAAATATTTATGCAAATGAAACTTTTAAATATCTTCCTCCTTGCACAGGAAGGATTTTTTAAAAAGAGACTCTTGAGGTAATTTCACGGGGGAGATAATAAATAATGGTTTTGTATTGGGGAGTGTGGTGGGCATTCCAGGGGTGAATGAAGGGTGCACTGGAGTGTGAATATAAAGATGGAACCTATATTTTTACATTTTCTTTTATTTATTTAAAATTCCTCTACTCCATTTGTATTCCATAATCACTATCTATGACAGTTTTATTTTAATACCTCCAATCTATAGGACACCTAGATTAGGAGAGAAGTCTATTGTGTCATGGATTCCTCCTCCACGAATTATTACTCATTGGCTGAAGAACTAGATAGATGTCCCTCAAGGCATCAGGGTCTCAAGGGGCCCATACAAAGTTGTTTCACATGGAAATGTCTGAGGACTATATGGGGAAATGATTACATATAAAATCACCAATGGGACTTCAAGCACCATTTTATGTTAGTTGTGGTTGATGACATTTTTAGTTCTTTGCACCATGACTCTCCCTTTGTGTGTTCTTTGTGACGTGCACAGAAATGTATCAGTCTGAATTATCTGAATACTTTTATTCAATTTCTTGATTCTGAATCAATTCAGAGGGCAGCTGCAGGCAAAGGAAGGCTTTTGCCTGGGTTCAGATTCACTTCCTCTCACTGTGTATCTCTGCTCCACAGTAATACACAGCCGTGTCCTCAGGTTTAAGGCTGTTCATTTGCAGATAAAGGAGGCTGTTGGAATTATCCCTGGAGATGGTGAATCGTCCCTTCACTTTATCCAAGTAGCGAATGTCAGATGAACCTGCATTTATACTTGCAACCCATTCCAGACCCTTTCCCTGAGCCTGTCTTCCCAGTGCATCCATTTGCTGCTGAAGGTGAACCCAGAGGCTCAACAGGAGAGGTGGAGGGACTCCCCAGGCCTTTTCACATCCCCTCCAGACTCCACCAGCTGGACCTCTGACTGGACACCTAGAAAGAAAGGCATTTTAAGAGACCCGGTGTATGTCTTTAACACCCATCATGTACTAGCTGTTTTCAACAGAAAGGATGGATTTACCTCCAAAGGCTGCTGAAAAGAAAACAAGTTGAAGCAAAGCTATCATTTCCCTGTGTGAGAGCCAGTGTGGTATAGTGGTTAAGAGCGGTAGTCTCGTAATCTAGGGAACCGGGTTCGCGTCTCCGCTCCTCCACGTGCAGCTGCTGGGTGACCTTGGGCCAGTCACACTTCTTTGAAGTCTCTCAGCCCCACTCACCTCACAGAGTGTTTGTTGTGGGGGAGGAAGGGAAAGGAGAATGTTAGCTGCTTTGAGACTCCTTAAAGGGAGTCAAATCCAAACTCCTCCTCCTCTTCTTCTTCTTCTTCTTCTTCTTCTTCTTCTTCTTCTTCTTCTTCTGTCTGAAATGTTGTCCCAAGCATGTATAGGTATCCCATCTTTATGTTGAATAATAGAGCACATGACATAACATTCTCATAGCTCCTTGTTCTTGCTCTCCTCAAAGCACAGGAATCCTGTATTTGTAATATATAAATGAGAAATATAAAAGCTGTGTTTACATGGGGGGGGGGTGTCACTAACATGGAGCTCATGTGTGCGTATATTTGCATGTTCAGTAACATTCACTATTTGTTTGTCAAAGCATCCTCCCTATTCTTTGGTCCTCCACAATACGAAGAATAAGATACACAACAACCAATACTTGGGTGAAATCAGGCCACAGCTTTATTGACAACAAATGTTTGGCATAGATATTGGGTAAACCCCTCCCCTTTCTGGCAATAAAGGGGTATCTCCTCCATTGGATTGCACCTGGTGAGTACTATCGCCCCTCACCCCTGCCTGGGCATCCCAACAGAAGTATCTCCCCACAATCCCTTTAATGGGATACTCCATTTTGAAGGCAAAGGCTACAACCTCCCCTCAGAACACGACTTTGCCTATCCAATGCGTAAACTGTCAAAGATGTGACATTGGCAATGAGGATGGCAAAAAGCAGAGGGCTGAGTGGGAAAATTTCAACCTGGTCCCCAATACGGTGATCATCTATGCTATAGCAAGGTGGAGCAGAACAATATGAAATAGCAATATGTAAAGTGGGTGGGTGGGAATCCAATGAAAAGTGGCTGCAGAACAAGCCATGGACCTGTATTACATACTGGAGGAACGAGCTTTAACTTGGTTGCCCATGTTTGCTCCCGATTCACTGATTAGGCAAGTGGACAAGGCAAATTACTGAAGCAACAAGTTTGGCCAAGAGCCTTCCTTTGATGCCTGGGAATCCTAAGTCAGATCCTGGCATGCAAGGGAATGCCAGCCGACAATGACGCCCACCCAAGAGGGTGAATTCATTTCTGATAGTATCCTCTCTTCCCAATGGAAATTTGGTTTCAAAGAAGCTCTTTAGTGTAGCCAATAGATCAAGTTGTGGCATGTAGCTGGTTGTGGTGTGTGTGTGTGTGTGTGTGTGTGTGTGTGTGTGTGTGTGTAGTGCCCATTATAGAATGTTTGATGGCCCTTGGAGTAAATGAAAAAGAGAACTGAATCACATTTTAAAAATACATATTTGTAGATCTGATCCGGAACCTGAGATCATAATTTGAGGCCGTTTTTTATGGTCCTCCTCCACAAGAGGTCTGGAGGGTGGCAAAATGAGAAGGAGCCATTTCTGAAATGTATCCCTGTTTGTGGAATGCTCTCCCCAGTGAGGATTGCCTGGAACCATCATTATACATCTGTAGGCACCAGGCAAAACCTTTCCTCTATAACCAGGCCTTTGGCCTATAACTATTTGTGGTCTCTTAGAAGTGGGTGAGTTGTTTTTAATGTATTCTTCTTTCCTCTTGGTTTTAACATATCTATGTGGGGTTTATTGTTTCTTTGGTTGTAAGTCTGGCTTCAGGTTCACTTCCTCTCACTGTGCCTCTTGCACAGTAATACACAGCCGTGTCTTCGGGTTTAAGGCTGTTCATTTGCAGATAGAGGAGGCTGCTGGAATTGTCCCTGGAGATGGTGAATCTCCCTTCACTTTATCCAAGTAGTGAATTGTAGCTGAATTGTAGTTTATGGAGGCCACCCATTCCAGGCCCTTCCCTGGAGACTGTCTCACCCACTGCATGCCATAGCCTCCAAAGTTGAACCCAGAGGCTCGACAGGAGAGGCGGAGGGAGTCTCCAGGCTTTTTCACATCTCCTCCAGACTCCACCAGCTGGACCTCAACTGGACACCTAGAAAGAAAGGCATTTTAAGAAGTCTGCTGCATGTTAACAACACCCAGAATGAACCACCCTTCGATAACTGGTATGAGGAATTTACCTCCTAAAGCTGCTGAAAAGAAAACAAGCTGAAGCAAAGCTATCATTTTTCCTTCCTGGTGCTTTGAGAGATTTGGCCAAAATGTGGTCCCTAGTATGCAGCGGTAGGGAGAGTGTTTGACTGCTTTAAAGAGGAAGCTCTCTCTGAAATTTACATAACCAGGAGGATAAAAGCACCAACAAAGACATCTGACAATGTCTGACTGGAAGCAAATGGTGACCTGGGAAAAATATACTTCTTTGCCATTGTACAATTTGCATAGCTCTTAACCTTGATGGGCTTATGTTTTCCCATCATGCACACAGGCTCCATGATTTCAAAAATGGAAACCATCAGGTATATAAGTAATGGGGGGTGAGTGGGTTTGAAGTATGTTTCTGAAAGGTACATTTCATTCAAAATTACTTTGAAATTGGTCAAAGAAGTTGCTCAAGGGGAAACATTAAATGTAGATCAATTCAATCTCAATTGTTGTTGTTCTTTAATATCTTGCCCAAACCAGAGAATACAGCTAGTTTGCACTGGTGAATGTTGTGAAATAGTTAAAAAATATTAGTTTTGCGTGGCATAATTTTTATTTCTTAAAAAAAAATTCTTATTGCTTCTCTAAACAAAGATTAGGGAGGCGGGTGATACCGCGGTCTAAACCACTGAGCTTTGGACTTGCCGATCAGGGTTCGAAACCCTGCGATGGGGCAAACGTCCGTTGCTCACTCCCAGCTCATGCCAACCTAGCAGTTCAAAAGCATGCCAAAAAGTGCAAGTAGATTAATAGGTACCGCTCCAGTGGGAAGGTAAATGGTGTTTCCGTGTGCTAGCCTTGTGTCAGTGTTCCGTTGCGCCAGAAGCAACTTAGTCATGCTGGACACATGACCTGGAAAAACTGATTGCAGAGCAGATAAACACTGGCTCCCTCGGCCTGTAAAGCGAGATGAGCGCCGCAACTCCAGAGTCATTCACAACTCAACTTAACTGTCAGAGGTCCATTTACTTTTGCCCAACATGAACTCAAACTCATGACCCTGAGATTAAGAATATCATGCTCTACCAACTGAGCTATGCATGTACTCACCCTCCTTGGCACGCTTTCCAGCTTGTCAATATCCTTGTTTAATTGTGGCACCTTGAACTGGACACAGTTTTTTAGGTTGAAGCATGCTCACCGGTCTTCAGTGGCTGCCTTCCTACTCAGTTCGGCTGTAAGCAAGAAAAGGTTCTTTCTTGACTTCAGATTCACTTCCCACCACTGTGTAGCTAACACCGTAATACACTGCCTTGTCCTCAGCTTTGAGGCTATTCATTTGCAAATAGAAGTGGCTGCTTGAATTGTCCGTGGAGATGGTGAAGTGCGTTTTCACCGCTTACAAGTAGTAACTTGTCACTGAATCTGTAGCTATCAGTGCCACCCATTCCAGGCCCTTCCCAGGATCCTGTCTCACGCAGTACATGTTGGAGTTGGAACCCAGCCATTTGACAGGAGAGGCGGAGGGAATCCCCAGGTCTTTTGATGTCCCCTCCAGACTCAACCATGTGAACTTCTGATTGGGCACCTGGAAATAAAGGCATTTTAGGAGGCCTGTTGTAGGATATTAACACTAAGGGCTCATCCACACTTCTGCTAGTGTGAGCGATTTCCCAGTTGCCTCACTCCTTTCTGAGGGAAAACCCACTCTTTAGTGATAGATAGGAAGAAATTGCAATCTGGAGGAACCACAAGTTGCAGTTTGCTCCAATGGAGCACTAAAGAGCAGTTTTCGGGGGGGGGGGGTTACCAGCAAGACAGAAGGAAGCACGAGTAAGGCCTCAACATTAAGCAGTTTTCTTTAACTGAAAGGATGGATTTACCTCCAAAAGCTGCTGAAAGGAAGACAAGTTGATACAAAGCTATCATTTTCCCTCTTGAATGAATTGAGATGGTTTAGTGAAAAGTGGTCCAACAAATTCATAGTTTTGTAGCTGTGGCAGGGTGAGTGCCAAACTGACTTAAGGAGGAAGCAGTTTCTAAAAAAATTGCATACCCCCCAAAATAAAACCCCACCACCACAGCTCTTTGGCAGCTTATGGTTGCAAGTCTTTGTAATAAATAGTACACTTATTTACTAATGCACTATTTGACCTGTTGTTACCCTTAGGCAAACTATAATCAATTACTATTGTTATTATTATGAATTTGTCTGTTCCTTTATCTCGCCCATGGCAATCCAATGAGACTTACAACCAAAGAGACAAAATACCCCTCATAGATACGTTAAAACCAAGAGGAAAGAGAAATATATTTAAAACACCTCACCCTCTTCTGGTAGACCACGGATAGTTAAATGGCAAAGGCCTGGTTAAAGAGGAAAGGTTTTGCCTGGTGCCTACAGTTGTATAATGATGGTTCCAGACGAGCCTCACCGGGGAGAGAAAACAGGGAGCCATTGCATAAAAGGCTCATTCTCATTTTGCCACCTGCCAGACATCATGTGGAGGAGGAACATGAAAAAAGGACCTCACATGATGATCTCAGGATCTGGATCAGATCTACTAATATTTATTTTTTTAAATGTGACTCAGTTCTCTTCTTCACTTACAACAAGGGCCATCAAACATTCTGCAATGGGCACTACACACAAACACCACAATAAGCCACACACCACAGCTTGTTCTATTGGCTACACTAAAGAGCATCTTCGAAATTTCTATTGGGGAGAGAGGTTACTGTGAGAAGTGTTCTCGCCCACTCTGGTGGGCGTCATTGTGGGCTGGCATTCCCCTGCGTGCCACGATCTGACTTCAGATTCCATGGCAGCACAGCAAGGTTTTCGGCCAAACTTGCTGCCTTGACTGTAGTATGCATGTATGCACATTAACACCATTCCAATGGAATTTATTCGATTTATCCATAGCATTTTACCCCAGATTTTCCCTCAAAGAATTCAAAGTGCTATACATAATATCCCGTCCTCATATATTCTTCACAACACTCCAGTAAGGTAGCTTAGGCTGAGAGGATTTGACTGACCCAAGGTCATCTAGCGAGCTTCATGGACAAGTAGGGATTTGAAACCGGCTTTCCCAGGTCCTATGTGCTGCAGAGGTGGTTTCATGTCATTCCTTGGTATGATGGGATGATGAAGAAATACACAGTGGCCAATTCACCATTTCTGAAAAAGTCCACATTCCTTCTTGAGCTGTACCCCAGCAACCTTAAGCATAACTCAGAGGTGTGACCAGACAAAACACAAATAATCATGTATTTACAAAACAGGATATTGATTTTAGGTGGTAGAATGAAATGTTGCAGCAAAGTCATTTGGTACAGCGCTGTACTGATCCACACTAGTCTGTTTCCATTGTGTGTCCCTTCTGTAGGTTTTTTCATCAGTATAATCATTTCTGCATTAAGTTACAGAATGAAAAGGCAGGCAGTTTGGATGTTGTTCCACATCATCTGTGGAATGTAGAATTGCTCTGTCAAAACTTTCACAGTGTATTTGTTGATAGAAGCAGAACTTCTACATTTTGAACAGAGCCCAATAGGCTTTGTCTCACTGTGTCTCTTCGGGCACAGAAATACACAGCGGAGTCTGCAGCTGTCAGGGAGTTCAGCTGGAGGGAGAACTCATTCTTTGAGACATCTGAAGAAATGGTTGCTCTGCTCTTCAGGGAAGGGGCAAATGCTTTACTTCCATCATAGGGGTATATCCCTGCAATCCATTCCAGACCTTTCCCAGGAGCTTGACGGATCCAATCCCATGCATAATACTCAGTAGAGATGGAGAAACCAGTGACTTTACAAAGCAGGTTGAGATTCTCTCCTGGTCTCACTATTCCTGGCCCAGATGATACAAGCTGAATGTCTGAGGAGACCCCTTGGAAAGAGAAAAGATGGCAATGAATGGTTGTTCGTCATCAAATCACCACATGAAGTACATTAATATTGCATAACTTCCCATACCTTTAGAAAGCACCACCAAAGAAAACAAAAGCAACAAGAGCTCCATAATGTTGATGAATAAATGTGTGCTAGAGATACAGGAAAGAGGGGACTCTGGGCTGGGAAGCAAGTGAAGATTTTATATTCAGGGTTTTTCAACCGAAACTACTCCCAACTTCCTGGTGGCATTTACATGAGACCTCCCCAGTGAGGCGCAAGAGGCAGATAAAAGCCATTTTGGCGATCAGGGTTTGCTGCTGGTTTCCTCTTTGTTCCCCTGCACAAACACAAACACACAAAGACAAATGCACACAGAGTGGAGTTCTAATGGAGGGGGCATAGATGGAATGCATAATTCACTCAAAGACGTTGGTGTTGGAGGAAGGTTTGGAAGAGATTTATGAACTGGGGAAGCATTCTTCTTTTATACTTTAAAACTACTGGTTGTGGTGGAAAGTTCAAGGGACTGGCATTTATCATCATCATCATCATCATTTCAGCCTCCCTTCGCCATGCACCTATAGAGATGCTCTTGGTGTGATGCAATTATAATTTCAAATGCAGCTTGTGAAAACAAATTGTTGGGAGGAAGTTCTGCTGTGGCAAAATGGAGTAGAGCAATTTTAAATAAATAAAAGAAAATATAAAAATATAGGTTCCATCTTTATATTCACACTCCAGTGCACCCTTCATTCACCACTGGAATGCCCACCACTCTCCCAAATACAAAACCATTATTTATTATCTCCCCCATGAAATTACATCAAGATGTAATGCTTCCTCTGCAAGGAGGAAGATATTTAAAAGTTTCATTTGCATAAATATTTAGAATAGCCCTCTACATTTGAAAGGAGGCAATTTGCCTCCATAGGCAAAGGAAAGAGACAAAGTTGAGCCAATTCTACCCCTCCCTCCCTTTTGTTTGGTGAGGGGTTGACTGACAAGAAGTCATAGGCACACAAGGGTTGTGGCTCAGGATGTCGCAGGAGCACGGAGGTTGTCTGGGTGAATTAAGAAGGAGTCCTCCTCACAAGCATTTGTATTTGGACAGGGGTGGGGAAACTCATCCAAATGTTTTGGGAGTCCCACACCTTTCATCCTAGGGGTAGGCATTGTGAAGCTTGAGAGATGATGATGATGATGATGAATATTATTATTATTTTATTATTATAATTATGTATCATTTTTCATCATAAAATCTCAGGATGGTTCACATGATTAAAATGCAATATAAAGCACAAATAAATAGTTAAAACTTTGAGTACATCAGCGGTCATGACTTGTCACAGCTGCTGTGGAGGAGACTTTGGCCTGACTGTGGTGGTAGCTGAGGAAGTGGGGCATTTAAGCAGAAGCCAGGGTGGCTTCTGTAGATCTAGGATGTTCTGCTCAAAATAGGATGGTTGGAAGGTCTGCTGTACTACAAATATTTTGTTTACACATGCCCTCAATCTACAGGACATCCATATTTGTAGAAAATAAGATTGTGCCATGGATTTCTTCCCCACAAACTGTTGCCCATGAGCTGAGAGCACAGAGATAATTGCTTGAAAGTTTCTCAGGGACTCAAAGTCTCAGGGGGCTCATAGAAAGTTGGTTGACCAGGAAACATCTGAGAAAGCCATTTCCGAATGACTGAGGAGAGGGGGTTGCGGGCAGCCACCCTCCCACACACGCGGGGGCGGGCCCCTGCCCCCGCGAGAGCTAGGGAATCCCCGGGCGTGCCTGCGACCCGTCCCGCCAATCGGCGGGCCGAGGAGGCGTGGCCCTAAGCTATTTAAGGCCAGGTACGCCCGGGGACCGCCTCTTCCCCTCGCCAGCTGGCCGAAGAGTTTTTCTAGGAGGTTTCCTCGAGGAGCTCTCGTCCTTACCTCTTTAATTCCTTGCCTCGTGCCCTTCCTGAACCAGCGCTGAGGATCGCTGCATTTGATCCAAAAAGAGCTTGGATTTTTTCGCTTCGCCTTCGCCTGCTGTGGTTGTCCTGTCGTGCGGGTCCGTGGAGCGATCGCGACGCCGCCGTTGGGCAGTTTTCTTCTCGGAGCACTCGCCGGGAGGAGCGGAGAAGCGGGGGATCCAGTTGGTGTGCCCCATCCCAGCGCAGCATTCTCCGATTACGGGAATCTCGTCGTGCGGGTCAGGAAGGCCGAGGTTTGACTGCGGGGTCTCTTGGTTAATTCTTGGTTTATTCTTTCATTTCGCTGGCAGGGACGCCTTGTTAATTGCTTTAATTTGTGGCCGGTTCGCTGTAGCAGCGCTGTCCGGGAGAGCCTGCATTAATTTCTGCGCTTATAGTCCTTAGTGTATAACCTTTTACAGTTTCAGTGCTTGCTGTGGGGGGGTTTTTTCTTTAAAGCCGGTTTCTCCTCCTTCAGACGATTCGGGTCGTTGCCAGGGTTACAGCCATTCATAGGCCATCCCTGCGCACCACGTGGTCCTGCGGGGTCGCGGCCGCCATTTTGAGTGGGGCAACCGGTATTTGTTTTCCTGGGCGGGCGCCATCTTGGTAGGGGCCTCGTGGTCAGCTCGCGGCGGCCATCTTGGTGGGGTCGGAAGCGACCCACGATATATTGTTGTGGCCCTATCTTGCCGGTTAACTCCCGGATACGCGCTGAAAACAATTGACGCAAGTCGGCAGCTTGCATATTCAATACAAAATATTTTATCTTGCGTCTCGAGCGGCAAGGTTTTTTCTTCGTCGTCCCCTCCTTCCGCGTATTGTGCCGCCGTTGTTGACGCGCGGTGGCTCTGGGGGTGCATAGTGATTGATGGTCTTTTGGACCGAGGGTGCAAAGTATTCGAATTAATTGTTGGCATTTGTGATTGCAAGACGTCTACTTTCCTGACCCTTCTTAGCAAAGCTATACACTCATTAAATTGATTACATTTAATAGGAAATAATAATAGTATATTAATAAGCATAAGCATAGTTTAATAAAAAAGTTTATTATTTTGAATATACAGTAAGTAGATCAGACAAAGGATATTCATACCCAGATACATACCGCCAGTAAATAAATAGGAACAATTTGGGTACCAGTTTAAACACTAATAATCCTAATTAAGAATAAATAATAATAATAATAATAATAATAATAAATAACAAATAAAATAAATAATCAAAATAAATAAATAAATACATAGATAACAATAACAATAATAATAAAGAAATAATTGAGATAGAAATTTTATAATAAAAGTTACAATATATAAGCAACAAAGCAGGTATTAAAAATATATATATATATATATATATATATATATATATATATATATATATATAAATAAATAAATAAAAGAGGAGACAAATAAGCGGTAGCTCTACCAGGAGCCCGGTAGTCAATCGAGTTTACCGGTCAAAAAAACAAACAAACAAACAAACAAACAAACAAAAAAAAAAAAAAAGCCTTAAACTGTTTAGAAGGTGAATCTTCGAAGGCAAATTTGCTAAGCCACTAAAGCGTTTTGCTATTATAAAGTCTAATTCATCTGATAGCCTTTGAGGTGTAGACAATTCTGAGCTGGCTAGAGCTCCAAAATTTTTCGGTTGCAGAGTGCAGTCTAGTTAGTGGCGCTCTCTCCTTCAAGTTCCACGTTAGCGCTCGGGTTCTGCAGCTAACCGTCATGGCTTCTGGTGGGGAGCAGCAGGCTTCCACTTCAAGCAATCAGCAGGCGCCTGGCGCAAGTAATGGTGGCGCACAGGCAGCGGCCTTACCTTGTGATCCGCAAGCCTTTGCACAATTTTTCCAGGCATTTGAAACATTTTACAGGCAATGTAGGCCGGGTGCTTTGGTTCTTCCCCCTGAACCGTCACAGGATGTTATACCAGACACGCCCCCTAACATTCAAGGGCAAGTATTGCCAGGTCCTTCAGGGGCCAACACTCGTTCTGAAACGTCTAATTCGAGTCGCCCCAATACCCGCGCTCAGGCAGCCATCTCTAAAAAAGCAACTCATAACTCGGGAAAGGGTAGGCCATTGGCGAAAGGCCCAGGCAAGGGTAAGGCTAGCTCTAAGGCTTCAGGTAGACAACCCCCAGCCCGCGCAGCAGACATCCCCAGTGTGTTCCAAGAGCAGCAGTCCCAACAAAGCTCAACGGAAGACAGCGAGGGTTCCAGCTTAGAGGAGGAACAAAGGGAACCTCAGAGTACCGCAGCCAGGGGCCGATGGGAATGCGGCCTCCGCAGAGAAGCAGGGCGGCAAGCGCAAGTGCAAGAAGAAGCACACGTCTTCTAAGAAGAGGAGGAGCAAACAGTCCGAGACGGAGGAGGAGTCAGGTACGTCTTCTTCCGAGTCGGATAGCGAGGTCCTATGGATGGATACTGGGGATTAGGCGAGGGTAATCACGGGATCCCGTTATGGGCTCACGAAAGGAGAGCCAACTCTCATCGTAGAACTTTCAACGGGGTGCTCGATTGGAAAGATGGGTCCCTGGTGGAGGATGTAAAGGTCGCCACCAATCAGTCCACCGACTTTATTTTGGGAAACCATCTATCCCAGAGGAGGAGGAATAAGATACTTAATGGTGATTACGTGGACATCTTTACCTTGCTTCCCCCCACCAAGCTTCTAGGTAAGGGTGAAAAGAGGCGATCTTCTGGTAAAGGTAGGTACAGGACCCCTAGGGCCGAACGCACCTTCGAGAACTGGTTGGATGGATACCAGGTTTTCATGGGTGTAGTTTGCGCCGCGTATCCTAGGCGGGCCATGGATTTGGTGGCCTATTTAGCTCACGTGAGGCGGGCTCACGCGCTGGCAGGTGAGCAGGCCGCTTTAACGTATGACGAGAATTTTCGCAGAAACGCCTCCCTACTCCCTTCCACCCGATGGGATCTGACAGACCCTAACTTCTGGGGCGAGGATGTCACTCCATACATTGAAAGAAAGAACCAGGGAATGGTCAAAGCAGGTAGGACTGAGGTAAAGCGGCGTCGCCTTTGTTGGGAGTTCAACAAGGGTACATGTTCTAGACCATCTTGTAAGTATTTGCACGAATGCGAACGGTGCTGGGGAAATCACCCAGCTACCACGTGTTTTAAAAACAAACAGCAGCCCTTTCGGGGGCAGGGGTACTTCCACAACAGCAATAGAGGTGCCCCGGAGCCTCCCACCAGGGAACTGGTAACCGCCAGTAACATGCATATGGGTCTGGCCTTCTCTCCCGTCCGTCTAGAACCTCTCAAGTCCCTGCTGGATCGTTACCCTAATCGGAATGCCGCTCAGTATCTGTGGGAGGGCTTTTCCGGAGGTTTCAGAATCCCAGTGGTTTTTCCACCTTCCTCGGGCGAACCGCCGAATCAAAAAATCTGTTAGGGAGAGGCCAGAGATAGCCAGAAGGAAGATCGAAAAGGAAATCCGGGCGGGTCGGGTAGCCGGCCCTTTCTCTAAGCCTCCCATCCAAGGCCTCCATCTATCCCCCCTAGGCATTGTTCCAAAAAAGACACCGGGGGAGTTCCGCTTGATTCATAATCTATCTTACCCTAAGGGTAGGTCAGTCAATGACGCGATCCCCAGGAGCTTTGTACGGTCAAATACGCCTCCTTCGACCAAGCAGTAAAAATAATTCGTAGGTTCGGTAAGGGCGCTTCTTGCAAAATGCGACATCGAGTCGGCGTTCCGACTTCTCCCGTGCACCCGGCCGACTTCCGCTGGCTGGGCTTCAGATTCGAAGGAGCGTATTTCATCGACAAAGCTATGCCGATGGGCTGCTCCGTAGCCTGCTCGGCCTTCGAAGCTTTCAGTACCTTTTTAGATTGGGCTCTTCGCTACAGGACCGGGTCCCCGGGCGTGTCACATTACCTCGATGACTTCATTTTGGTGGCGGAAAGCAAGCAGCAATGCTCCGCCTTGCTGGAGGCTTTCACTGCCCTGGCCGGAGAACTGGGTGTTCCACTGGCCGCAGAAAAAACGGAGGGCCCTGCTACTTCTATGGTTTATCTGGGCATTGAATTAGATACCCTCGCCCAGACGTCCAGGCTACCCAGGAGTAAATTGGACGCTCTTAAAGCTCTAATTCAACAGTTACTACCATTAAAGAAGGTTACCTTGAGGCAAATACAATCCTTGCTAGGTCATTTGAATTTCGCCTGTAGAGTAGTGTCGCCCGGCCGACCATTCTGCGGCCGCCTAGCCAAATTGTCAGCGGGTCTAAGGGCACCACAGCATAGGGTACGCCTTTCCAAGGAAGTTAAGGCGGACTTAGGTACTTGGCTTCAATTCCTTGATAAGTACAACGGTGTATCACTGTGGCAGGATTCCATGGCGCTCGGCTCCGATTTCCAGGTACACTCGGACGCAGCAGGTTCTCTGGGTTTCGGCGTTTACTTTAGGGGGCAGTGGTGTGCTCAAAGGTGGCCCGCAGAATGGCAGGGCAGCCTATCACCCGTGATCTCACATTCCTTGAATTTTTCCCCATCTTGGTAGCCGTGCATATTTGGGTAGACCAGTTCCGCAACCACAGGGTTTGTTTCCACACGGATAACCAGGCGGTAGTAGCCGTCCTTGCGAGACAGTCCGCGCGCTCCACTAGGGTAGGAAACTTGTTGAGGTCCTTCGTCCTCCTTTGCTTAGAACATAACATTCACTTTTCTGCCAAATTCGTGCCTGGCTGTGTTAATGACATCGCGGATGCTTTATCTCGTTTCCAGATGGAGCGCTTCCGCTCGCTGGCCCCGAATGCGGAGCAATCATCGATGTCTTTCCCGGAGCATCTCTGGAACCTTGGGAACAAGAAGTGATGAAGGGAGTATTCGGTGCAGTCGCTCCTTCGACTATGAGATCATATGCCAAGGCTTGGGCGGATTTTCTAAAGTTCCGCAGCAAAACTCCCAATGCCAGGCGGAATTCAATTCCGACAACTAGGAGGTACTCCGCTACCTAACCCACTTGAAGGAGCTGGGCAGGGCACCTAAGACCCTCAATATACATTCCGCGGGTATTTCCTATTTTTGTAAAGCCTTCTTTGCATCTGACCCGTGCGCACAGTTTATCGTGCGCAAGACGTTGGAGGGTTGGCGCCGCCAACACCCCCCCAGCTCCGACAAGAGAAGGCCCATTACGTTCGACATCCTGATCCAGATACACAAAAAACTACGCGAAATCTGCTGGTCTAAGTATGAGGCCCGCCTCTTCTCTGCAGCGTTCTCCATTGCCTTTTCGGTGCCCTCCGCATCGGTGAGGTGGTTTGCGAGGGAGGAGCTACCCACTCTCAGAGGGGCATTCTTTTGAGTGATTTGACCCTTTCCGAGTCCGACCTTATAATTCAAGTCCGTAGCTCCAAGACAGACCAACAGGGTAAGGGGTCCCTCATGCGCTTACCGGCAGCTCAAGCTAGAGGCCCTTGTCCGGTTAGGGATACCAGGCGTTTTCTCTACTTAAGACCCAGCGGCCCCGGCCCTTTGCTTATACACGCCAATCGATCGCCGCTGGCGAGGCATCAGTTCACGCGGTGCTGCGCCTGGCGTTGGCAGCATGCGGACTTCCTGCGGCCGACTCGCAGCGCATCCCCTCCGGATCGGGGCAGCGACCACTGCAGTGCACCTGGGTCTCTCCGCGGAGAGGATAAAGGACTTAGGCCGGTGGAAGTCCAACGCATACAAAGCCTATGTGAGAAAGAACCTCTGACCAGCGAAGGTTCTCCTGACCTCTTTTCCTTGTCCTTTTCCCTTGCAGGTGACAAGCGGGTACGCATTTGGCTGGTGGGCCACAGCATCGTGCACTGGGCTAGGAATCGCGCCATGTCTACCGGTTTGGGGCCGAAC